ATATATCCTTTCCTGTCATTCGAACCTGCAACAAATTTAAAAAAAGTTCAATTTAGGAGCAGTTAAGCTCTAGAAAATAAGGTAAATGGTCAAATAATGATGTGATTTGAAACAGGTGATGTCAACGGGTGATTGTAATTATGATTTGGTACAAAAGCAGCATCCATAAAAGGTCTAGTTCTTTAGGAGCAACGATGGGCAGAGGATCGGCAGTTTGCCAACAAATACTGAGAAAATGATTGAAATGTTTAAAAACAATGTTCCTTAGTGAAAGATAGGAAGATATTTGGATGTTTTACCTTCAACAATGCAGAACATCATTAAAAGATTCATAAAATCTGGACGATTTTCAGTGTGTAAAGGGCCAGTGCACGTAAGCTTAACAACTGTGATCGCTGATCCCTCAAGTGGCACTGCATCAAAAATTGTTATTCATCTATAAGCGACATCACTACATGGGCTTAGGAATACTTTGGCAAACCTTTGTCAAGTACCACATTAGGTAGTTACATCCACAAATTCCAGTGAAAACGGTTCTGTGCCAAAAGGAAGCCCTATGTTAACAGTGTCCGAGCGCCGTTGATGTGTGTGGTCAGATGAATCAGTATTCCAGGTATTTTTGGAAGATATAGATGCCGTGGGCTTTGACTGAAAAAGACAAGGATAATCCAGACTGTTACCAGCAACAAGTCCAAAAGTCAGGGTCTGTCATGGTATGGGGTTGTGTCAGTGCCTTTCGCAAAGGTAACTTGCACTTCTGTTATGGTACCATTAATCCTGAAAAGCACATAGAGATTTTGGAGCACAATATGCTGCCTTTTTTTCCAGGGACGCCCATGCATATTTTAACAAGACAATGCAAAACCACATTATGCACACTTTACAAAGTCCCGGCTGCAGAGGATGAGGATACAGCTAGACTGTCTGCAGTCTCAACCTTTTTCCAATAGAGAATGTATGACACATATTGAAGCGCAAAATTCGACAATGAAGACTCTATTCTGTTGCCCAGACTTGTTTGGGACAAAATTACATCTGAAACACTTCATCAATTAGTGTCTTCAAAGTTTGAGAATTTATGTTTATTTAAAAACAAAAAGCAAAAAAAACAAAAACAACAAAAAAATAAATAAAATAAAAAAACAATAGAAATCATGAGTAAAACATTAAATAATGTTTGTTGTATTGTCTGGTAAGAAATACAAATCTAAGTAAATTTAGAAATCACTACTGTTTTTTTGCATTTTTCATACTGACCAAGCTTTATTGATTTGGGGTTGTATTTTAATTTGTGTTATGAAGATGAATGAAGGTCTCAGGATTTTGGAATGACATGAAGTAAAGAAATGAATAACATTATTAAATATTTTAGGTGAACTAATCCTTTAATCTTTAAAAAAACTTTTAACTAAATGATCTTATTTAATAAAATAATACTTATAAAAAATAATAAATAAATAAAAATACCTGAAGGTCTTGAACTGACAGACCGGACAATTGCAGAGGTGGGACTCTTTCAGCCAAGGTGTTCTCTCTCTCTGTTTGCTTATCTTCTTTTTCAGTTACAAGCATAGCACATGCTTTCTTCAGGAGCTTTGTCTGAAGCAAAACATATTCAAAAACATTCATTTCAAATGCTTCACCTGTAGATATTCTATCTTTTCTGTAAAGCAGACAAAACCTGATACCTTTAAAAACAACCTCCTGGATGCTGAAATTTTAGATTTGGGTCTCTGGAAAAAAAAAAAGCCAAATTATTACATTTTATTCAATTTAAATAGAAAATGTCTAAAATTCTTATTGTGGAATAAAGCCCACTTACCTGGCTACATTGGTGATTTTTAAGTTAGGAAAAGGAATGAAAGTACCAATGTGTTAAACATTTAAAGTAATATACAGCAATAAATATTGTATGCATAGATACTTGAAATTAATACTACTTACGACTCAGACATTGTGAACTTCTAAGTGAATGGCAAATCACTAGTCAAAATCTGAAATATAAAGATTGGTGACTGTTGGTGAGGCACCAATTTATATTACAAAAATAAATGTCTAACAATCATATAGTGAGAAATGCTGCATGGAGTAACATGTTTTAGCAACATATCATACAAATATAATCTGATAGTTCTAGTTATCATTACTCACAGTACATCAAACTCGCTAAAAATATTTTATAAACTTTGTATAACCTAAACAGTGTAGTTAAAACTTGATTAACCTCATTAAAAGAAGTTAAAGTGAAAAAAATGTATGTAATTTTTACAGTGAACAGCTTAACAAATGGGGCTTTTATGGATATTTTTAGTAGGTTGAGACAGCTACACCTTGAAGTAAATATGTAAAATGACAGAAAAATATTCAAAGTTGAATACCTCTACCATCATTTGTACAAGGCACCAAGTCAAAATACTGTTTTAAACTAATAAAATTACAAAAATTCAATAAGTTGAACTTCACATCATCAAAAGTTGTTGACTGTCCCATTATGCAATTCAATAGTGTAAATAAATGCAAATGAATCACCCATGCATCGCAAAATTAGATATATTTTTATGTAAAGTGTATTAAAATAAACAAGCAATGCATTTTATTTCAAATTAAAACATATAAACGTATTGTCTAATATACACCAGTAAATAAATAAATGAAATATAGACTCCTATAGACATGAGTGAAATGAAATGCAGACTGAGACTTTTACTTTAACATCCTACAGCTTAAGAAGAGATTTCAACCAATGTAACCAATCATGTCACATCAAAGTCTTCAAAGACCAAACTATCCTCGCTATGCCACACATTACCTCCATGTCAGCAGTTGCATCTCATGGGTGATTTTGGTATTTTTAGAGAAATCAAATGCGTTGGTTTTGGAGTTAGCTGTGCCAAATAGTACAATAGTTCATACCTGTTTCTCCAAAGACCCTCAAGGCAGTGAGTAAGGCTGGACAATGTCGGTTCACAAGGAAACTCAGGCAAATTTTATGGCCTCTTTGGGCTCCTCTGAGTGGCTCACTAAAATAGACTGAACCCTTACACCCGGAGTCTCATTTTACTCAGCACCATCAAAACACAATTGCACACATTGTCCACTGCCAGTCACACTCTCCATTTCCCATTGTTTGACCCTATAAGGCAGGAAAGACTTTGCATAAGTGAGACAGTGGTTGAATGACCACTAAATAAATTTGAGCCTATGAGTATTTTATTGTCAATCAATTGAGTTTTAATCAGAAATCAATCGAGTTTTATTTGTCAACTCATAAAGCTTTAACCATCAATTAATGATGTTATACATTTTTTTATTGCAAACCCGAGTATTAATCACCAATTAAGTTAATTAAATTAAGTTTTAATTGGCAAACCATCAAGTTTTACTTACCAATTAACCAAGTTTCAATTGACAACTAATTGAGTTTTAATCGCCAATTCATCAAGTTTTAATTGGCAACCTATCACGTTTTAATGGGCAACCCAGCAAGATTTAATTGCTTATAATTCAGGTTTTAATCGCCAACTCATTAAGTTTTAATCACCAGGTAATCAAGTTTTAATCAGCAACCGATCGAGTTTAAATTACCAATTAACCGAGTTTTAGTAAGCAACTGTTGAGTTTTAATTGGCAATACATAGATTTTTAATCGCCAGGAATTGAGTTTTAATTGGCATCCTATTGACTTTTAATCACCAATAATTAAATTTTCAATCAGCAACTCACCAAGTTTTAATCGGCAGCCCATCAAGTTTTAATCAACAATTTATCAAGTTTTAATCAGCAAACCATTGAGTTTTAATCACTAATTAATCGAGTTTTATTAGGCAACCCATCAAGTTTTAATTGCCAATTAATCAAGTTTTAATAAGCAACAGCCGAGTTTTAATTGGCAACCCATTGAGTTTTAATCACCAATTAACTTAGTTTTAATCAGCAACCCATTGAGTTTTAATCAGCAATCTATCAAGTTTTAATCACCAATTAATCAAGTTTTAATCATCTACCCATCAAGCTTTAATTGACAATTAATCGAGTTTTAATAAGCAACTGTCGAATTTTGATTGGCAACCCATTAAGTTTTAATGTGCAATTAATCGAGTTTTAATAAGCAACTGTCGAGTTTTAATCAGCAACCCATTGAGTTTTAATCATCCATTATTCGAGCTTTAATCAGCCACCCATCGACTTTTAATCACAAATAATTCAAGTTTCAATCACCAATTTACCAAGTTTTAATCGCCAATCCATCAAGTTTTAATTACCAATTAATCGAGTTTTAATATGCAACCCATCAAGTTTTAATTGATAATTAATCAAGTTTTAATAAGCAACTGTCGAGTTGTAATTGGCAACCTATAAAGTTTTAATGTGCCATTAATCGAGTTTTAATAAGCAACTGTCGAGTTTTAATTGGCAACCTATCAAGTTATAATTGCCAATTAATCTAATTCTAGTTTTAATTGTCAATGTATGGAGTTTAAATCGGTATCCTATCGAGCTTTAATTGTCAATTGATCAAGTTTTACTCATAAACCCACAGTTTTAATTGCCAACTAATTGAGTTTTAATCACCATTTAATCAATTTTAAACCAATTAATCAACTCAGAAATTTGTTTCCCAATCCATTGAGTTTAAATCAGTGAGGAAAAAAGTTTTAATCACCAACCTACAAAGATTGAATTGCCAATTAATTGATTTTTATTTAACAATTAATCATCAATAAAAATTCATTAACTTCAGTCAGATATGTCATTTGGAACAACATTAAGATTTCCTCATGTTTTTCTTTGTAGTAGGTTGCTAGATGGTTTCTGTTTAGCCCAAATACAATTCATTGTACTATATTTAAACTGCCTCGTTTCTTGAATTCAATCTAGATGTATAAACTCACAGCATGTGGGAACTTAAAACCAGCTACGCACATACATACACCCAACCAAGTGCAGCAATGCATTTCAAGGACGACGTTTTCAAAGGGAACTACATGGGGACACAAAGGTTCTTTTGTCGAATGGGGTCATTTATTTTTGGAATGCCATTACATTGCAGTTTTACTTCGAGTAACACAGAAAGTGTTACAAAGTCTGTTATATTTTGTTCCTGAACAGCACAGTAAAACTCATTTCCAGTTTTTCAGCACTACACAAAACATAAAAGTGTTTCAAATGTAAACATTTCTGTCTACATAGTCCAACAAAGAACAGAAACTATTAAAGACATGCTAAGTTCTAAGGTTGACAACAAAACACATTATGAACAGTAAACAGTGATTGGTTGACTTCAATAGTCATAACAAAAAAATCAAATTTTAGTTTGGTTTGGATTTTCTTGCTTCAAACCATGTGTGTTGGGAGCCTCCTTGTCTTTGTGCATATTGATTGTGTTACTTTTTTGTCTGAAAAATAAGAAAATATTGTCATATTTCAATTAGAATGTTTTTATGGTGCTCAAACATAGTTAGATGTGACAAATTAGCTTTTTACTTTTTTATTGTCCAGCATCAAACAGCTTCTTTCTGCCTTCCATTCCAGACATGGCCTCCACATTCTTACGCCAGTCGGTCACCTCTTCTTTCTATAAGAAGAACAAATAGATAAAAATAGGTTTAGAATGAGCCATGATTTATTTCAATGACAAATGTATGGATGAATTGAAAGGACATGTACAGTACACACTGTACAGAACTGTACAGTACACTCACTGTACAGACCACAACTAACTCCTGAAATTGCAATGATTGATGCCATGGTAATTACAGCAATATTCTGGCATACTGCCTATTGTTTTTTACTAAAGTTATATTACAGTGACCAAACATCTGATACATTTGCAGATCTTAAAGGTCCCGTAAAATTAAAAATTAGATGTTAGTATCAGGATTGTTCGTTTTAAAGATTGAGTGTGCTCCAAAATAGTGTCGGAATTCAAATTTTGAAAATATAAAACTTGCATAAACAACCAAAGCTTGCAGTTTGTCACTTCCGCCTAAATGGATCAACAATTTTTTCATGTCACCTCATGCTTCAGTTCATCAAATCTTGACCAATGAAATGCTCTCTAGCATCTCACATGCCATGTCCCTTTCATTTGATGCGCTTGATCTTGACTCTCTCACTGGCAGAGCTGTGATGAAATGTGATTGGCTGTTTATACAAAAGGGGAGGAGCTACTCTAAGTCCCACCCTCTCCTCATTTTTCAGTTAAGATTACATCAAACATCTAATAGAAACTGCACGTTTCAAAGCACTTCACAGGACCTGTGCCCTTGTTTATGTTTGGAAGGCTGCATTGCAGCAGTGTGTTCCTTGTAGTGTTGCCATGTCCTCAGAAAATAAGTCTCTTTTGGATTATCCAGTTTGATCCAGTTTATGAAGTAGTTAATAAACTAGACAAGCTTGCACTTTTTTTTAATTCAACACAAAAACCTGGTATTAATTTGGCAACACATTGTTTCTTGTGAGAACGTGCATTCAGGAGTTTTATTTCAACTGTTGTTGACAAACAAAACATTGTGCTTCCATGTTTGAAAAGTGGTTCTGCAAATTGTGCTACTGAATTGTTGCCATGTCTTATTGTGTGTATTTTGGACTTAAGGCAGAGGTCTCAAACTCAAATTAGCTCACTCAGTGACTGGCAATTTATAGGAGACCGATTTAACATTCAAGCACAAAAAAGTGGAAACCTGCTGTAATTGATCCACTCACCCCAGAGTTTATGCAGTCAAAGCTCCTTCTTTTTGTTTTTATTGTACATATTGAAAGGGTAGTTTAAATTGCTAAAAAATTACAATTTAATAATAGGCATAATAATATTTATTAATATTCTGTCCCAATCAATTTTTGCTTAACCAGAAAAGCAGATTGGGTAACTTTAGTGACTTTACTGGCAATTGTTCTTCTCAATATCTTTCTTTTTTTGTAAAATTACAACAAAGAGGGGGAAAATATTTAATCAAATTTTACTAATGCACATTTTTTATACAAATTTTAATTTGCACATGAGGAAAATCTATTAAATGAGACATTTAAATCAATTATTAGTAAAAGAATCATATTTACACCACCATCATAACATGTAAAACAAGGAGATGTGTTTGTACAACACAATGCAGTTGGTATAAAACTAATTATAATCAAATGACCCTTGAATATTTTCAAAAATAGAGCTTAGTAAAAATAGAGCACTTACGGACATATATTTCAACATTTAAATCAGCCCCAAAAATAATATGCATGTGTGTTACTTTCGATCACACGCTGAGAAAACCAAAAGTAACCTGAACATAATACAGTACTTTAAACGTCCAGTATGAGGTGGGTCAAAAACACAAGTGGCTATACAGTATGTGACTACACAACAATGACAGTGATTCAAAAATATATGTTTTGAGGGGCTGAATCTCGTTATATTTTTAATTTTCTATTTTTTTTATTTGCGCAGGCTGGAGGGAGGAGTAGCAGGGGGGGCCGCAAATGGCCCGCGGTGTGGCAGTTTGAGACCCTTGAGTCCAAAACTATTTAAAAACTTTTTTAACATATTTGTTATTGCTGAAATTGGTTATGCATAGAAGCATTGCACTCCGAGTTTGCACACTATGTGTATGAATCAGAGATCAAACACATTACCTTTTCTTCTTCTTTCTTTACTGTCTTTAGATTGGCTTTGAAATCTGCCTTCGATGACATTTTGGATTCAGTCAGTGCACCAAACATGGAGTCATGTGACTTCTTGACCCTCTTCAGTTTGGTTCGTTGCTTTGAACCCTTCATGTCCCAAATCTTCTGGGTCAAAGTCTGGATCTGAAATGGAAATGTTTTGATCAATTTTCAATTCAATTAATTTCAGTTCAATTCATTATTTCTATACCGCTTTTACAATGTAGATTGTGTCAAAGCAGCTTATCATAGTTCAGTTTTGAGAGTTAAGCTTTAGTTTAGTACAGTTCAGTGTGGTTTAAATTTCACTGCTGAAAGACACTGAAGAGCAAATCCATCGATGCGCAGCTCTACAAGTCCCAAACCAAGCAACATAGTGGCGAGGAACAAACTTCCCCGATTGACTAAAGTGAAAAGGAAAAAAAAAAAAACCTAGAGAGAAACCAGGCTCAGTTAAGAATGACCATTTCTCCTCTGGCCGCAGTCTAGGTGCCGGAGGCTGGACAGCCTTAGACATCCATCGTGGAGAAGCTGCAGGTGTAATTAGGTCACCGGCGGGTGTTTAGTCTGGCCCACGAGATCAGTGCGAAGACTCGTCTATCACTAGGTCTTTCAGGAATCAGTCTCTTCCTCTCCGCTCCTCCCTGACCGCCACAGCATCTGCTCAGGATACGGCCAGGTCCAGGATTATGGACACCTTGGTATCATCTCTTCACAGGTCTTGGATCACATCAATGGTGCTGCACAATATCTAGAGGCCTCTGGATGAGTATGCCAATTTTGCAATTATTAGTTTAAGAATGAAGTTATTAAACCTTTATTTTTTCTTTTAATGCAATTCTAGCATCTATGGCTATTCATGAAAGGTGCATTTCTTACACAATGATGCTTAAATTAAAACCAAGTTAGATTATTTTTCCGGAATATCATTATACATGGACTTATCAAAACTAAAATTGTGTTCAGAAATGTAAATAAATCAAAAATAAAATGTAAGTTTTAGAGACTGAAAGTTGCTACAGAATTTTATTTCAATATGTTGAATGTGCAGCTGAAAGTGAATAATGTGTTAAAGCATGGCTTAGTTTCTACTTTCTCATCTTTCACTTGCAGCAAATTAACGGTTAAAGGGGTCTGGCTAAGCAAATTTCCCCCAAGTCATCAAACTGATGACATCAGAGACATACAATCCAGAGCAGAAGTAAATTGTCCGATTTTGATTAAAGATTATCTTGCTAACAATGTGCGCTAACAATTCCTTGTGAATGTAAATGTAAATTGCACAAGTTGCCTTGGTAACTAAAAACAAATACAATTATAACAATTTCCAATAAACAAAAAATGTAAAATATAAAAATAAAACTAATTCATAACATTACATTTGTATTTCTAAGTTAAATGATACATCACAAGGCCACGCAGTGGCGCAGTAGGTAGTGCTGTCGCCTCACAGTGAGAAGGTCGCTGGTTCGAGCCTCGCCTGGATCAGTTGGTGTTTCTGTGTGAAGTTTGCTTGTTCTCCCTGTATTCGCAGGGGTTTCCTCCGGGTGCTCTGGTTTCCTCCACAGTCCAAAGACATGCGGTACAGGTGAATTGGATAGGCAAAATTGTCCGTAGTGAATGTGTGTGAATGAGTTGTATGGATGTTTCCCAGAGATGTTTCCGCTGCGTCAAACATGTGCTGTATAAGTTGGCAATGCAATCTGCTGTGGCGACCCCAGATAAATAAAGGGACTAAGAGGGAAAAAAATGAATGAATGAATGATAATGACAGATTCATTACCTCTATTTCATTTTTAGCCACTTTTATTTCAAGATCATATCGAGCCTCGTCAACATCATCAATCTTGCGGTGAAGCTCTTTGCAAAGTTCCTTTAAAAACATCAAAGGCATTCACATAATTATTTATAAACATATATATGTTTTCTCCATACATGCACTGTATTTAAGAAAATACCTGGAGCTCCTGGGCTGACAAGCCAGACAGTTTAAGAGGAGGAACCCTCTCATTTAGAGCATCATCTCTTTCTCTTTTATTCTGTTCTCTTTCAGCTGCCAGCATAGACGTGGCCTTCTTCATTAATTTAGTCTGTAACATAACGTCATTGATATGACTCTCAAGTTCCAGTACATTAGCACACAGTATAGCGAATAGTACCACATGCCAATGCTAACACACTGCTATAGCATGGATGGCCATGTCAGAATGGATTCAAATATTGCATTTAAAGGGCATCTATTTACCCCTTTTTCAAGATTTAAGATAAGTCTTTTGTGCCTCCTGAATGTGTCTGTAAAGTTTCAGCTTAAAACACCCATCAGATTATTTATTATACCTTTAAGAATATTGTAATTTTCTACACACACTGCCCACTGCTTTTACATGCCTGTCAGAGTGTGCCTTAATCTCCGCCTCGGCAACGTCAAATAAACAGCACAGTGACAGAAAGGAAGCATATCTCATGTAATGTTTGTGAGAAATACTATATGAACTATTACTATGGAGACACGTTAATACGCTGTTGTCAATCAATTGGGTGGGGAAACCGCACTCCTACCTCACATTGCGGTGAGCCTCAAAATGGGAAGGATTTAAATACTATTTTAACATCATGAAATAAAAAAAGACACTTATTGTCTTTATATCACCCCAATTTGACTGTGGACACACTATATACATACAGTTCTGTCCAAATAGCTTACAAATGATGATTTTCATCATATGTGCCCTTTAAAGAAATAGTTTATCCAGAAACAAAAACAATTGCACTATTTACTCATCCTTAAGCCATCCTGGGTATTTATGCCTTTCTTTTTTTCAGAATGGCATAATGGAAGTGAATGATGTCCAGGTTTTGGAAGCTCTATAAAGCACATCTATCCATCATGAAAGTAAGTTTAATGGATTATTGCCTTCTGAGGTCACTTGATAAGTATTAATTTAATGATTAATGAAATGGGTGAACTATTACTTTAAGGGTGTTTAATTTGTGCAGACAGTTCAAGGAAAAAAGGATATGGAAAAACATATAGAACTGTATATAGAACTGTTGAGACATTTTGGGGTCAGATAGTTATGCCGATGCACCAAGTCTCCATTTAGTTTATGAAAATACTGTAAAATAAGAAATATTTTGAAAAATTATCATAAACTATTTTCTAATATGTTTTTGTTGTGTAATAGAATAAAAAAGCTTTATTAATGGTTTATAAATTCATTGCAATTTCATATACTTATTAAAAAATAGTTTTGCTTTTATCAAAATTCTATCATTGATTGACATTGAAAAAACTGCATTTATTTGAAATACAACTTTTTTGTTAAATTTTATTCACGTTTGCCAGAAAAATAATGAATTTTTTTGAATACATAATAATATTTAGAATTTTTTAATAAAATAATTGTTTTCATACTTGCCCCAAACTTTTGAACATTATTGTGTGTTTGTGTGTGTGTGTGTATATGTGTATATATAAAACAATCATTAAACTTACTTTTAATAGCAGTCGCCTTGTGGCAGTATACTTTGATTTTTTCTGAAAAGCAACACAAGTCATGCTTAATCATTTCAAATATTGTTTTAACATTATAAATCTTATGAATTGTGGTATATAATGCCAAAAGTAAAGTGACTTACCGGTCTACAGCACAGAACAAACCAAAAAGGAAAGAAAACGCCCCCAAAATGGATTAACAAAAAAGATAAACTGATCCACTCATAATCAATCTTAATAATTTTACAAATATTTTTAAAATGTTAATAACCGCTTACCCTTCAGACATGGTGATTTCTCTGTATGGACCCTACAAAAAAGATATTTGATTTTAAGTTCTCTTTCAAATTAATGACATTGACTGCACATACAAATTGTCCAACATAAGTCACAATCACAAAATGAATGTCCATATACTGTATTTGATTTTTTAAATCTATCAGGTGATTAAATCATTCACTGTATTGTTGTGTGCTTTAGATTTGCGTTTGTAAACATTCCTACAGTCCACACATACAACACAGCCTGTAAAGGTGATGAGTGCCAAGAATTTGAAAGGCAGAGGAGTCACAATGTGGAGGAAAATTAAATTTGGCACCACTGTATCGAAGAAAAATTCATTTATATATATATATAAACCACTGGTGCTAAGAAGTCTGTCCATACCTATTTATTGCATTCGTATTTATTGTGCTAGATAAAGCACATGGCTGTTAGCGTTTCCAGCCTGGCTAAATTTGAACATTGCTGCCATACCTTCATGTGGCCCGGCTTCAAGCTTTAGCCTTGAACTCACTACACTGGATGCTAACACTTTCATATTAATGCTTGAGTTTCTGAAAAGATAGCTTTAGTTTAAAAGGAATTGTTTGGATATTTAGATGTTTAAAGCATGTTTTTTAAATGCCTTTTGTTGCCAAAGATGAGTGTACAGTTTGTGTAGGGGTAAATCATTTACATTTACATTTAGTCATTTAGCAGACGCTTTTATCCAAAGCGACTTACAAATGAGGACAAGGAAGCAATTTACACAACTAAGAGCAACAATGAATAAGTGCTATAGGCAAGTTTCAGGTCTGTAAAGTCTAAGAAGGGAAGTATTAGTATTTTTTTATTTTTTATTTTGGTACAGTTAGTGTGATATTCAGAGAGGCAATTGCAGATTAGGAAGTGAAGTGGAGACTAAATAGTTGAGTTTTTAGTCGTTTCTTGAAAATAGCGAGTGACTCTGCTGTTCGGATGCAGTTAGGGAGTTCATTCCACCAACTGGGCAGATTGAGCGTGAGCGTGAGCGTTCGCGAAAGTGATTTCTTCTCTCTTTGGGATGGAACCACGAGGTGACGTTCATTCACAGAACGCAAGTTTCTGGAGGGCACATAGATCTGCAGAAGTGAGAGCAGATAAGAAGGAGCAAGGCCAGAAGTCACTTTGTAGGCAAACATCAGAGCTTTGAATTTGATGCGAGCAGCAACTGGCAGCCAGTGCAAACGGACTAGCAGTGGAGTGACATGTGCTCGTTTAGGTTCATTGAAGACCACTCGTGCTGCTGCGTTCTGGAGCAGTTGAAGAGGCTTGATAGAGTTAGCTGGAAGCCCAGCTAGTAGAGAGTTGCAGTAATCATTTAAGTATTCAGTCGAAATCTGGCCATTAGTGCAATTTTACAAACCAATGATTTTGACATATTCTAAAGCAGTGTTTCTCAACTACGTTCCTGAAGGACCACCAGCTTTGCACATTTTCCAGTTCTCTTGAACCATACACACCTGATTCAGATCATCAGCTCATTAGCAGAGACTGAATGGATGTGACAGACAAAAGAAGACATCCTAAACATGCAGTGTTAGTGGTCCTTCGGGAATGTGGTTGAGAAACACTGTTCTAAATTGCGAGACAAGACATCCGATTTTATGGTTTTATTGATTCTGTATTTTTCTAAGATTTTTGAATGATAGCATGAATGTTTTTCTTACCTAAAGCATTACTAAGGTGATAGACAAACCACATGAGAGTGTTTGGTCTAATTGGTTTAGCGAAGCAAATCTCTGCAAATTCCTAGAATTTTTGTAACTGTCAAGTTTTTGGTTGACTTTAACTTTTGAAAAGTGCAAGACAAACTATCTAGGATCTGTTTTTGGGGTCTAATTGATTCTGGGAAACACATTTCTAATACGGCAATCACACAAAGCACAGCAACAGCCAAGTTCAGACCACAGCAATAACAATAAAGATGTTCAGAAATTCTATTATAATTTTCTCCAGCTATTTAAGATAAAACACTGACTGCCAGTCAATTCAATTTATTGAATTGTTAAATGTGTTTAAAGAGATGAATAATGAATATTCTGTCATTATTTTCTCATCCTCCACTAGTTCCAAACCTCTTTAAATTTCTTTCTTATGTTAAAGACTATGGAGGATATACTGAAGAATGTTGGGGTAAAAAAAATTAGCCATTGAATTTCATAGTGTTTTTATACTAAAGATGTCAGTGGCTGCCTTTTATTCTCCAACATTCTTGTGTTCAACAGAAGAAAGAAATCCATAAAAGTTGAGAACTGTTTGAGGGTGAGTAAATGGTAAGGAAATGTTCTTTTTGGGTGAACTATCTTTTTATGCTTCTTATGTGGTCTAATTGGTTCTGCAAACTTGTTTTTTACATTTTGTATATAAAAGTTGTTGAGTTATATTACTTCAACATTCACAGAAATTGTTAAACCTGAGACTGTGTCCATGTGATTGGTTCATTGAGCCAAATCTCTGGCTAGAAAAATTCTAGAAAAATGTTACCTCAAAACTGCTACTGCATGTCAGATCAAGAGCATTTAATTTCATTTTTCTCTAAACCTTCTACTGAGCAAGACACACAATCTGAGAACTATTTTCTTGGTCTAATTGATTATTTTTGTTTTACTTACAAAAAACGAACTTAACTACCAACCCAGGACTTTTTGTTGCTCCCATTAATTTCCACTATAGTTTTTTAAAATTATTATTTTTTTATAAGGTTCACTTTAATTATAATAGGACAGTGGGGATTTATAGACAGGGAAGTGTGGGGAGTAGAAAGGGGAAGAATCAGCAAAGGACCTTAAGCCAGGAATCAAACTCTGGTCTCTGTGAGCATGGTACTATTTGTCAGTGCACTAACCACTAGGCTATTGGTGCTAACTGTTTTTTCTTTTGCCACATCTGCACTGTAAAAAGTGATTAGTTGAACTTCAACAGTGTGTGCACATTGCATTTAAAGTGATTAGTTGGCTTTACTTTTAAAAAATGAGTACACCTATATTGCTTTTTAAGTGATTAATTGTCTTTACTAACAAAGTAAACCATTGCATTTAAATTGAACAGTTGACTTAAATAAAACTGAGTAAACTCGTTGCTTTTTAAGCGATTAATTGACTTTAAAAAATGCATAAACCCATAGCTACTAAAGCGATTGGTTGTCTTTACTTAAAAATAATGAGTAAACCATATTGCTTTTTAAGCGATTTGTTGACTTAAAATGCATAAACCCATAGCTTTTAAAGTGATTGGTTAACTTTACTTTAAAAAAAAGTAGGTAAACCCATTGCTTTTAAAGCGACTAGTTGACTTTGCTTGAAACTAGTGAGTAAACCAATTGCTTTAAAAGCAATTAGTTGACTTTACTTGAAAATACTGAGTAAACCCATTGCTTTTAAAGCCACTAGTGACTTTACTGAAAATTGTGAGTAAACCCATTTATTTTAAAGCCATTAGTTGACTTTACTCAAAAATAATGAGTTAACCCATTGCTTTAAAGGCAATTAGTTGAATTTACTTAAAAATACTGAGTAAACCCATTGCTTTTAAAGTGATTCGTTGACTTTGCTTAAAAATAGTGAGTAAACCAATTGCTTTAAAAGCGCTTAGTTGACTTTACTTGAAAATACTGAGTAAACGCATTGCTTTTAAAGCCACTAATTGACTTTTCTTAAAATTAGTGAGTAAACCCATTGATTTTAAAGCCATTAGTTGACTTTAACAAATGAGTAAACCTGTTCCTTTTGAAGCAATTAATTGTCTTTAGGTTAATAACTGAGTAAACCCATTTTAAAACATTTAATGGACTTTAAAAAAGGGGGTAAACATATAAATTCAGTAAATAAACTGTGCATAATTACTCAAATTAAGTTAACTTAACAGTTCCAAGTTACAGTGGGTTTACTCACTTTTTTTAGTAGTCAGCTTATCGATTTTAAGGTAAAGTGTTTACTCACTTTTTTATAAGTAATATAACTAATCATTGTAAACTGCAGTCATGAAGCGGCCACAGTTTTTCATAGCAGACATTCTTCAAAGTTGACACGAGGCTTGTTACAGAAATACATTAAAAGTTTTCTATTCCCTGCGGTTGTGCCACAGGAGAATGAATGTGAATGGTGAATGATGAATATGAATCCATTCTCCATCACTGAAGCTGTGAATATGATTCCAAATGTGTGCAGTAAATTTAAAGCGCAAATCCTTTCAAATATTCAGCAATAAACTCAACATCTTTAAGCATTTATGACGGTATGTTCTAGATTGTGAATGAGATGGTTTGTCGCACTTACCTTGAACTAGAAGGCGATGAGGGCAGGATGATCTGTGTGGTGCTGGTGAGGAATAAATGTTATATGATTTTTTGGTGATGGATTTATGAGTTGAATCTTGTGCGTGAATGGCTCACTAAAATAGACCCCCTGCTACGCCTCTTGCACTCACGTGTGCAAATATGTTGCCAATTTGTTCTCCACCTATTACTAAATGTCATTTGCACAGAACGAAGTGTGTTTGTCCTCCAGGAAGGGAACATACACACTTTCACATGACAAACACACACAGTAGCACAAGGGTCATGCACTTCAGCATTGTACTGTGGTAAACTTGTAATGGACGTTTATAATGGAAAGGCACTAATGAATATCACTATTTTAAGATTTTGTATGTAAGAAATTTGACGATATTTTAATTTCCGCAACAGAAATATGGACAATGTGTTGTTGACATTGTTTTTTTTTCCCTCAAATGTTATCTAAAAAACGTAGCAATAGGATTAAAAAAATAAAATCTACCATGACATGCAGTTTAATAACTAAACCTATTGTTAAAGCAAGTAAAAGAAAAAGAAAAGAAATAGGAATTTAAAAAAATGACTGTCCCAAAAACAAACTGAGCGACTGCATTGCTTTCAATAGCCAGAGTAAATAAAATGTATTGATGTAAACAATGTTATTTAAATATTACTTACAGAATCTAATTTAAACAATTGAACAGAAGTAATGTTAATAGGTCTCTAACTTGTACATGTAATGTAAATGTAATTTAATAGTTTAAGACAACAGTGGCAGAAGGTAGATTTTTCAGATGAATCATCTGTTGAACTGCATCCCAATCATCACAAATACTGCAGTAGACCTATTGGAACCAGCATGGACCCAAGATTCTCACAGAAACTAGTCAAGTTTGGTGAAGGAAAAATCATGGTTTGGGGTTACATTCAGCATGAGGGTGTGCGAGAGATCTGCAAAGTGGATAGCAAGATGCTGCTTATTACAGTACAAACTGCAGGAGAGGACAAATTCTTCAGCAGGATAGCGCTCCTTCTCATACTTCAGCCTCCACATCAAAGCTCCTAAAAGCAAAAAAGCTCAAGGTACTCCAGAATTGGCCAGCCGCGTCACCAGACATGAACTTTATTGAGCATGTCTGGGGTAAGATGGAGGCATTGAAGATGAATCCAAAGAATCTTGATGAACGCTCTGGTTACTAAAGTAACCCTCGTTCCCCGAGGAGAGGAACGGAAATGCTTTAAGTGGTTTAAATCCACGTATGGGGATTTTGTTCAGAAAGCCAATTGTCTGAAAGAGTATGTAAACGGGCCAATGAAATGCAAAAATGGCAGCATCAGCTTGTGCACCTGATGCTTGTTGCAATCAATTTAGCATAAAAGCACAGCGAAAGCAAGAAGATGCAACCTTTTTAAAGCTGAAGAGACTGATACCTACAGCTAAGGAACAATCGTTATGGCGAAGCAATATAACATTTCTGTTCCCCTCCTCGAGGAACGAGGGTTACTTTAGTAACCAGAGCATTCCCCTTCGGATGGAGAACTTCAATGCTATAAGTGGATTTAATCACGCATGGGAAATGTCTGGAAAACGCCATAATGACTGCACCTTACCTTCACCTCCGATGAGAGAATAGCCAGGCATAGCGTGAGAGGCGCGGAGTCTTCCAACGTGATCCCTGGCCTTTACTTATCCCATTTCAAAGATTTACAGATTTAGATATATTTTTCAGAAGCCACAAGCGTCTAGATCATTTCTAGATTTTAAATATGACAGTACGTTGGGAAAGCGTGCACTCCTGAAGGGGAGGATGCTGCGGAGGCCACCTGCTACACAAATGGGGAGATATGATGGCAGAATATATGGATTAGCCCTGAGAAGGGGGAGAACGCATATAATAAGATGTTTAGCGGAGAGAGAAGACACGAATCCGCCTGTGAGGGGGGACTGCATCGTGGCTGAATAAGCATATGAGATCGCCTAGTGGGGATCCCGCATAGCGGGCACCTATACCCAAAACGAAAAGTGAAGTTTGTATAAACTAATTTCAAGAGGATCACGTGCTTATGATTGCTAGCGGCTGGATCCGCATTATCCAATTCACTATGCTCAATTCAGACGACTCCTAAACTACTATAAATACGCTGGGTTTCATTCCACTGCTATCTTCGTTTTGAAGAGTCCCCCCTTCCACCCCTACTCCTCCTTCTTCCTAGATGGGTGACACGGTGGCCCAGTGTGTAGCACTCCTGCCTCACAGCAAGAATGTCTCTGGTTCCAGGCTTTACCAAATCAGCAGAAATTTCTGTGTGGAGTTTGCACTTTTATTCCTGTGCTCACGTGGGTTTCCCCCGGGTTCCCCGGTTTCCTCCCACCTTCCAAAAACATGCTATTTAAGTTATTGACTAATCCAAATTGGCACCATAGACATGCTTCTAGTATGTAGTTATCTCCAAGAGCAATCACTTACTGTTCATTGGTTACTATAGCAGGGAAGTTCTCGAGATCTACCTAAGGTCAAACTCCCCTCCCACCTTGCAACGGGAGGGAACCCTGGGCTCGAGGATCTCATGAGCTCAGGGCTCTCTCCCGGGACAACATGCCATGTTGCTCATGACAGCCTGACTGTGTTGCTCTTTTAGTGAAATTTGCAACTCTATACGCACCACTCTGGAGGACCAGACCCAAAGAACGCCAGGCAAGGGAGAAGCCCAGCTCGACCGTCTGCCGCCGCGTGTACACACTCTGGACCAGAAGACCGCTCTTATTCGCTCGAAATTGCTGGATATTAGCAGGAGGAACCCTCATCGACTCTCTCAAAAGGCTGTAGAAGTCTCTGAAGCGAAAAGGTTAGTGTCTTCTCGCTTTCGCTGTGCTTTTATGCTAAATTGATTGCAACAAGCATCAGGTGCACAAGCTGATGCTGCCAATTCATTTGGCATTTCATTGGCCTGTTTACATCTTTCAGACGACCCCATACATGGATTAAATCCACTTATAGCATTGAAGTTCCACATCCAAACGGGAACTCTGGGAGTCCTGCAAGAACGCTTTCTTTGCCATTTCAAATGACTTCATTTAAGTAATTTAAGTCATTGCAGAGATGTAGGGAAGCATACCTCCAAACTCATGGGAATCACCCACAATATTCATTCTTTTCCACTGCACAATGACTTTATATTCTATACTGTACATTATTTCTGTTAAGTGACAACACTTTTGTCTAAGCAAAGTCAGACCTTACTGTCCTAATTAAATATATAAAAATAAAGCCATGATCATATTTTATTTTGGTCAAATAAGCGTAATCTAAAGACTTTGCCTTTCATATAAGCCACTTCTGATACCAAATGATCAACTAGAAGTCAAATTATTTGTAGTTCCTCAAGTATCTTTGTAGTTTTAAAGACTTGGATAAACAACAAGACTCTTGCCAGGTAGTGTGTATATAAAGTTGAATTCAGAATTATTTGCCCACCTGAACTATTAGACCCTCTGTTTATTTTTCCCCCGTTTTCTGTTTAACAAAGAGCTGATTTTTTCAACACATTTCTATACATAATAGTTTTAATAACTAATTTCTAAAAACTGATTTATTTTTATCTTTGCCATGATGACAGTAAATAATATTTGACTAGATATTTTTCAAGACACTTCTATACAGCTAAAAGTGACATTTAAAGGCTTAACTAGGTTAATTAGGTTAACTAGGCAGGTTAGGGGAATTAGCCAAGTTATTGTATAACAGTGGTTTGTTTTGTAGACTATGGGGGAAAAATTGCCTAAAGGGGCTAATAATTTTGTCCTTAAACTGGAGATTTAAAAAATTAAAAGCTGCTTTTAGCCGAAATAAAACAAATAAGACTTTCTTCAGAAAAAAAAAATCCGACATACTGTGATAAATTTCTTGCTTTGTTTAACATTCATTCATTCATTCATTCATTCATTTTATTTTCAGCTGTATGAATGAACCGCCAACCCATCCAGCACGTTTTTACTCAGCGGATGCCCTTAAAGCCGCAAGCCATCCCTGGGATACATCCACACACCCATTCACACTAATACACTACGAACAATTTTAGCTTACTCAATTCACCTGTACCGCATGTCTTTGGACTGTGGGGGAAACCGGAGCACCCGGAGGAAATCCATGCAAATGCAGGGAGAACATGCCAACTCCACACAGAAACGCTAACAGACCCAGCCGAGGCTCGAACCAGTTTTCGAACCTTCTTGCTGTGAGGCGACAGCACTACCTACTGTGCCACTGCGTTGCCGTTAGTTTAACATAATTTGGGGGAAATTAAAAAAAAGAGAAAAATATTCAAAGTAATAATTCTGATACTTATGTATATTTGATAACTGAGACGATTCCTCCCTTTGTTTTTGTTTTTTTGTTTGTTTTTTTTTGAGGGGGTGGGATGGGGCTAATGTCAATTATTTTGTATTGTATTTATTATTATTTTTGTATTATTATTTGTATTGTACTGTGTTTGTTAAAAATCTTATAAAATGGTAAATAAAACAAAATATTACAAAGTAATAATTCTGACTTTAACTGTATACATGTATTAAAATAAATAAAGGACTTAAATTCTATATTAATTAAGTCATAAAAGTGTTAATAGACAAAAATTAATAAATAAATTTATTTAATAATTAAACTAAACTTATAAGACTTAATTAAACTCTACCCTTGTTAATTGATAAATCGGGTTAATTTTCTTGACATCTGATTTGTTAACTTCACAGTTAGTAATAAAATGTCCCGGTCGTAAAAGCTAAAGTTAACTGGCCTCTTTATTAACCTGCGAGCTTGTGTTTGAGGGCCATAAAAGCCGAGCTCCCCAAGGCTGCGGAGGGCAAACAATAATTCATACAGGCTTGTTGAGAACAGACTGACAGCACAGTCCTATAGTCAGCTTTTTATTATTATTTACTCAAGGTTATATAATTATAGTCAATATAAAAAGGAACTTACTCAAATGTACTTCTGAAATCCAGAGGCGTTTAATGACGGTGTGACGTTGTAGTGTTTTTATGAGAAAAACAGATGTCATGTAGGTTCGAGCTCATGTACAGTGCCTAATCAAAATGGGCCTATTTTTTACAGTGTGTCGGAATGAAACTCAAATCCTCTGCTGACTGTTGGCATGTACACCTGTAGTAATCAGTGTCAGCAGAGCTTATGAAGTCATCTTCAGATATTCTGTAGTGTTGTGAATGAAATGTATACAATTTCTTTATTATTCTTGACAAGGTTGACAGAGATGTGTTTAGACTTGTATTTTTGAAGCTTTAACATATCTGAAAACACAGACAATAATTAATAAATCTGATATTAAATTTATTGGCATCCTTTTATTCAAGACAAATTACAGCAAGAGCTATGTGATATGATACAATGCAAGTGCGCATTAAACACATAGTCATCAGTTTATAGGGGTCTTCTTCCTCATTACAACCATCTGAGGCAAATTCCACAATATAAATGTTAAACAAGCATACAGTTAAATCGTATCCCTCTTTGGGAGCTGCTGAATACATTTATTATCTCGAATTTTACATTATAATGATGAGTTGTGCAAAGTTATCGAGCATGATTAAATTACCTGAGAGCTCTAATGCTGTTCTTGTTTTCAAAATAAGAGTCCAACAAGGAAGTCCTTTGTTTAAAATTAGCTGAGTCAACACAATCCTTGAGTTTTAGACAACTTAATTGTTTCATGTTCAGTCTACTTAATAAAATTGTTTGGAACCCAGCATTTTTTCCAGGGTAGTATTATACAAGATTAGATATACTTAAAATTAAGAGGGGGAAATCATCGTTGTTGTAATCTCACTAGGAAATGTTGTGGCCAATCAAATGGTGCCTGGGGTGTAATAATTCTGTGTGGATCAGAATCTGTTGACCTGTTTTTACTGGGAATTTACAAACAAATGATTTACATAAGGGGAAACAATGGTGTATAATGCTCACAGTATGCCAGTTCTGCACTGAACTATTATTATTCACCTATGCTTAGGTGCGTCCATATTTTCCAGATCCATTATGTGAAAACTTGAACTTGTCTTATTAAGTTAATAAGGTTTCAACTTTATTTACCTCTTAGTTCCACTGAAAGAAAATCTTAATACTTATTACTGACCTCATAAATGTGATTCAAGAAGAATGGTCAAAATATTGAACACACTCCTAAACCTCTTAAAAAGCCTTTTCAGGAGAGTTAAAGCTGTTATTTCTGCAAAGTGTGGCCAAACTCATATTAATCCTTACAGATTAAGATCTGGCTGTTATTAAATTTCATGTACATATAAAGGCAGATTTTCCCAAAAAAATTAAGCAATGAAGCTGGGTTACCTGTCTGGATTTCCTTATGAGTTTGAGTACAATCTTAATATTTGTTTTACTTTATAAATGCCTGATAGCATTACTTCCAAATAAAAAATAGCATTGTTTCCATATTGCTTGATTGCAGATGGTGTACGTGAAAATTAGGGTTATTCCACTAAATATTGATTACTTAACTCCTCTGAAGTAAAAAAAAAAAAAGTATTGTATTGCATAGTCTTATAAATGAATATAGCATTGTTATTCTTAAATTGAGTCATTAAGGTGTCCTATGATTCTTATTCTTTTTTTCAAAATGATTGTTTGGGTGTATAAACCCTTGTTACAGTGAATAACATTTTAGTATGTGAAAAAAATGAAATGGGACATTGTAGTGAATGAAAAACAATTATAGCAGTACTTACCTTTAACGCTTTGATGATTTATAAAAGTCCCTTTTGTCTTTGACCCAATTTATAAAAAGAAAAAATTTGCTTAAATGGTTTCTCTGCAGAAAAGTGAAAGTAGGTTATCTTACGTACATCTCAACACTAAATTGTTATCAAAGTCAAAGTTGTTAGCAGATCTAATTTCTTGACGGATAAAATAATTAAATTAATTATGTGACTCTTCACTTGCGGTTAAAGTGTTTGACCATTAGCTAGGCTTCAATTAAAAAGGCAGCATTAGTGATAAAAGCTTTATGTGCGTCAAACCCTCCTCCTGCTTATATGGTTTCCTCTGAATACAGATAGAATCTAGAAAAGCATAAGAGGATGTTCAGTTATCTTCCACCGTCACTTCAAAACCAGCTTCACTCTGTCGCTTTAGGGTATTAAATGAGTAAAATGAGCGTAATAGTTCTCTTTCTCTTGCTGTTTTCATGTATCTTGAGAGTCTTCCCTCTTCATCTCATTGAGCTGCCTCCAATGGACTGCTCTCAGAAGGTAAATATGCTCATTTGTTTTATTTGATTTATTAAACGTTAATCTAATAAGTCTAATAGCGTATTTGTGTCTGTTTAAACCTGGCAGAGATACATAAAAAATTAAATTTTTTATATTATATTTTTATATTCTGTTTTTGTTTGAGTTGTTTTGGACCAGGGTAGAGTAAAAAATTCTGATTATATGTTCTTAAAAAATGTATACAATGACATTTTCAAATCATCAGTATTGACAAATCAGAAATGATGTATGATTTTTAACATGATTCAGTGTGGATTTTTTTTAAATGTCATAATCATGTATAGATTTCGAACAAATTGATGTACAATAAATTTGACATGTCATTATGCTCTTTTCTGACAGGGATTGGTATGTGCGGTTCACAGTGGCAAGTATAAATAAATGTCTCTTCTAATTTAAGGTTTTTGAAATCAAAATCGACAGTATGTTCAATGAAATCAAATTTTCTTTGACACTTTCAGGTAACTGTTCAGATGAGGGTTTGGTGGTGCAAGTGTCTGAAGCTCCAGGTTCTCCTGTTGTTACTGCTAATATAGGTGGCAAGGAAGAGGAGAGTGGACTGTTTGTGCCGATTATAGATCTCAGATGGAGTCAATTACCTGATAGTAAGAAACTTTTTTTCCTCTGTTAACAGAGTGAAAAGTGGTATAGATATGTTTCTTGTTCAGATGACATTCTCAGGTGAAAACTCTTATTTGGGTCAAGCTTTGAAGATCAAAAAAATACAGTATATCATTGGTGCTGTGCTTGACAGCCATGCATACACAGCAAATCATAGGATAAATCTGTGCCGAGGAGCCATGCTGACACTCAACCCATGTTAAAAAAAAAAAAAAAAAACGGTATAATTCCTCTAATAACTGCAGCTTAAACTGATTTTAAAACAGAGACTGTGACAAGAAACAAAACTTACTAGCTGCAGTTTTAGAGGAACACTTTACATATAGGCTTATTTTACTACTTCAATCTCTGTGTCTAACTAGAACAGTTTTAGCTTAGCTTAGCATAAATCATTAAATGTAATAAAAAAATTACCTGAGACTATTCTGATTATAATGTTTTATATAATATTTTCAAATCATCAGTATTTACATTTTTTATCATCAACAGTTTTAGCTTAGCTTAGCTTAGCATAATTCATTAAATCAGATTAGACCATTAGCATCTCCATGAAAAATGTAACTAAAACATTACCTGATCATTTTCTGATTACAAATATATTTATAAAGTTTTAAATAATATTTTTTAAATAACCAGTATTCAATTTTGCCTTTTATTATCAGCAGTTTTAGCTTAACTTAGCATAATTCATTAAATTGGATTAGACCATTAGCGTCTCGCTGACAAATGTATTTAAACATTACCTAATCATTTTCTGATTATATACTTTTATATACTTTTATAAAGTTTTATATAATATTTTCAATTTTACAGTTTCATTATCAGCAGTTTTAGCTTAGCTTAGCATAATTTATCGAATCGGATTAGACCATTAGCATCTTGCTCATAAATAAAAATTTTAAAAACATAATTTTCAGATATATTCTTATATATTTTATATCATTGTATATAATATTTTCAAATCATCAGTATTGATAAATAAATTACTGATTTGATACAATATTGTTTTTATCATGATTACATTATGATTTTTTTTAAAAACAGTTATTCTTCAGAAAATTCAAAATACTGTTTGTATCTTGAAGGAGTTTATATACAGTAAATTTTCAAATGTCATAATGCTCTTTTCTGACAGGTTTTTTTTTCTAACGGGTAGTGCTAGTGTAAGGGCTGGTGCTGGGGAATGTTTTCAGGCACTACAGAACATCATTGTAGCTGCTGCAGCCATGGTACAGCACAAAGTTCTGTGATTATCATGCCAGAATGAACGTATAGAAGCCAGATAGTCTAGAAAACAGCAACATTTCATTTTCTGTTTGTCTAGACCACTAACTGCAGAGTCACACTTTGAATAGAAAAACTGATGAAATCTTTTTTGAAAATTTTAAATGTGATGCTAATGGTCTAATCTGATTCAATGATTTATGCTAAGCTAAGCTAAAAGTGCTACCACCTAACTCAGAGATCATCTTAATGGATTAAAATAACAAAACTGTTAATTCTAAGGGAATTGTAAAATGAACCTTTTTTTTTTTTTTAAATGTTGAGTGTTCCTTTACGACGTTTTAGCTTCTGGGGTCCTCTATTAGACGCCAACAGTGAACACCAAATGGTATCTTATACTATATCCAGTGTGCTGTAATACTATTGAAAAATTATAATAGTAATGTTTATACTCATGCTTAATTTCAGATGGTCAGACAGCGATTCATATTTTATAAATGTTTAAAATATTGCTGTCTTTGACGCAGTCCTGACACTGTAGTTATTTACACGAAGATTTTGTAAAAGATTCTCTTTAATGCATAATATAATAGGTTTCACAATTTAAATGTGTAGAGGCTTAGAAACAATATTCCATATGCCACAACAATAGCATAGGTGTGCACAAAACTAGAATATTGAAACAATTTCAATCATCAAATTTCATAAACCTTGGTTTTTTTTAAAGAATTGTTATGTTGTTTTTCCACATAGGTCGCATTTACTCTCTCAAAGGGACTGAAGTTCGTGTGTTGGAAATGGCAACAAATCGCAGTGTTTGTGTACGGTATGTTTTTAGTAAGACATTATCATCGCCAAAAAACCCGAGGGGTGATATGGTGAGTAGTCATATGCAATTTGTACACAGAAAATTATCATATAAAAGAGCATAAAATGCCAGGGCCAGATTTAAAATGGCATAAAATACCATAATACTTATGCAAATATTTTATAAGCATGCTAAGTGAACAATTGTTTTTCTAAAAAACAATGCTAAAGTCAGTTATTCGTATTTGCACTCTGTTTTCAGAAAGTCTGTCTTTGTTTTGGTCTGTATAACTTCGCCCACTGCCACTTTACCCAATTACATTTCAGCATCCTGGGTTGTCATTTCATTTCAGTCATAAAGGCTGCCTCAATTTATGTGGCCTCTGCAGAAAATTTGACCACTGGAGAACAGTATTAACCTCCAAAATGAGACACAGATTCAGAGTTTCAAAAATTCACATGATGTGGTTTCTAATGAACAAATAATACAAATATTACAAACATAAAGGTTAGTTGAGCAGCTTACAGCGTAAGGACTCAATCTTCAAGCACATTGGCTCCTGTTTGTGTCGTCAATTTGGCATTCTGTGTATGAGTTGAGTTGTTGTAGGAGTTGGGTAAAAAAAATCCCCTCTCAATATTTTGAATTTGGACTGCAATACCTAGTTTTCCCATACTATATAGTGTTGATAAAGATTATGTAAACAAAGAATTAATTTTAACCGTAGTTTAAATCATCGTGCACTATGCAGTTTGCAACTTTTTTTTGTGTGTGTGTGTGTGAAGCTAATGGTCTAATCCGAGTCAATGATTTATGCTAAGCTAAGTTAAAAGTGCTACCGCCAGACCTAGAGATCATCTAAATCAGGGGTTTTCAAAGTGTGAGGCGCACCTCCCCTGGGGGACGCCAGAGCATGTCAGGGGAGGCGCGGGAAAAAATTTTATAATAAAAATATAATTATTAAGTTTAATTATTATATGTATTTTTTATTATTTTAAACGTTTTAATTAAACAAAGCTAAAAAAATAATACGTCAAAAATAAGAAAACCTTTTTCACCCAGAAGGCCATAGCTGTGAATTCGCTTCTGTTTGGCAAGCCGACTAATACAGGTATATGCCTGCTAATCATGCTGCTAATGCAATGGATCGGTTTCTGAGACCCCCCGATTCAAAGCCTTCAAGTTCAGGGCTTAAACCCAAAAGACGACGATATGATGATCAGTATTTGAGTTTAGGGTTTACGTGGACAGGACCAGCTGATGAACCACGACCTTTATGTGTGGTTTGTCAAGATATTTTGGCTAATGACAGCATGAGACCCGCTAAACTTCGGCGACACCTTGAAACCAAGCATGATGAGGTAGCAGGAAAACCTCCAGAATTTGTGTGTGTGTGTGTGTGTGTGTGTGTGTGTGTGTGTGTGTGTGTGTGTGTGTGTGTGTGTGTGTGTGTGTGTGTGTGTGTGTGTGTGTGTGTGTGTGTGTGTGTGTGTGTGTGTGTGTCCGCGCGTGTGTGCGTGCATGTTTGGGAGGAGGGGGCGCCAATGGATAAGTTGTGTCAAAAGGGAGGCCCACTGTCTTAGACTTTGAAAAACCCTGGTCTAAATGGATTAAAAATGGCAAATCTCAACTGTTTAATTATAAGGCAGCTGTAAAATGAGCCTATTTTCAAAAAAAATGTTGCTTGTAATACCACAAACTATATAGTGTGAATGTTGGTTTATTCGAACAAAGAGTTCATCTTAATTAGAGTTTAAATCATAGTGCATTATACAGTTTTCTACTGTTTCAGCTTCAACTTATAATTTTCTGTCAGTCTATTACACAATGTAACTGCAGCAAAGTCACACTTTAAATAGGAATACTATTAAAAATATATTTTTTTAATTTTTGAGTGTGATGCTAATGGTCTAATCCGAGTCAATGATTTATGCTAAGCTAAGCTAAAAGTGCTATCACCAGACCCAGAGATTGTCTGAACTCAACTGTTTAATTCTAAGACGGTTGTAAAATGAGCCTACTAATGCTCATTTGTGCATACTATATAGTGTAAATGTAAATATATGCAAACTTTTAGCTTAATCTTAATTAGAGCTTATAGTGCACTATGTAGTATGCCACTGTTTCAACTTTAACTTTTTTATTTTCTGTCACTTTAAATAGGAAAACTATTGTAACCTTTTTTTTTTTTCCCTATGGACTAATCAGATTCAATGATTTATGCTAATTTAAGCTAAAAGTGCTACCACCAGACCCAGAGATTGTCTGAATGGATTAAAAATGGCAAAACTCAAATGTTTAATTCCAAGGTTGTTGTAAAATGAGCCTACTTTCTTCAATGTTGACTGCAATAGCTAGTTTACGCATATATAGTGTGGATATGACTAAATGCAAACAAAGAGTTAATCTTAATTAGAGCTTAAATTATGCGATTTGCCACAGATTCAGCTTTGCTTCTTCTCTTTATTTTAGTGGACTTTTTCTTTGGACAAGATTGTGATTATTCCCGACTTTACATATCAAGTTTTTGTAACCAACTTACCAAAAACAGATTTAGGAAACACTATGACAGTAATCAACATGACAGTTCCAGGTGAGAATGAATAATTCATGTAATAATAATAAAGAATTGTGAACAGATTTACAATGTCTTCTAATTTGTAACAGTCATTCCACTCATATAAATGTTTAAACGTGTATAAAGCATCAATAAAAAAATAATTAAAAAACTGTGAAAATCTTACAAGTTACTGGTTGTTTTCCATTAATGTGTACTCTCGCATTGCATTAATGGAAATTGATTGCTGCATGCACCATCAAATTAGTTTATTTGGTGATGTAAATTAAAATTATGATTCAACAACTGGTACTTTTTAGTTTTTTTTATATATATATTTGGTATTTCCTATACAATATATTATTGAAACCTACTAAAGATATTAATAATTGTACTTTGTTAAGCTGTAGAGTTACAATATTAACATCAAAAGTTCCCCTTCGGGGGGAACTTCAGCACTATAAGTGGATTTGATTTGTAAAATCCACGCATTGGGAGGATTCGGATCAGAAGCCGCTTGTCTGGAGAGTATTGAACGGGCCAATGAATGAAATTAATTGGCAGCGTAAGCTTGTGCAGGTGTGCGACATCTGCAATTATCTCAGCATATAAGCACACCTGAAGCCAGCAGACGCCATCCTTTTCGCTTCAGATCCTTTCTGAGTGAGTCGATGAGGGTTCCTCTTGCTGATCAGCACTTCAGAGCGAACGAGTGTGTCTCCCGGTCCAGAGTGGGTCTTCGCGGTGGCAGACGGTCGAGCTGGGTTACTCCCTTGCCTGCGGTTCTTTGGGTCCGGTCCTCCAGAGCGGTGCGTATAGTTGCAACTTTCCTAAAAGAGCAACACAGTCGTGCAGCACGTCCTTTTCAGGATGGCGCTCCGACTGTGCGTTTCTGGATGCGGGGGTTTCCTGGCTCCGGATGATGGACACGATCACTGCATTGCATGTTTGGGGGTCCAGCATGTTAATGCGGTGCTCGCGGGCGGTTCATGTCGTCATTGCGATGCCATGACCGTTGCACAGCTAAGATCGCGGCTAACTTTCGCAAGAGAGCGAGCCACCCCAGTTGCCTCCTGTTCTAAAAAAGCAGCGGGCGCTCGGGCAGATCTGAGGGTTTCAGCGGGAGATAATCCGCCGCCCACGGGCTCGCGGACCTCTCGCTCCTCACGACGCTCCATCCAAGCTTCGGGTGGTGAGAGTGATCCGTCTAACCAGATGGTAGCTCTCACACTCGCTGACACCGGAGATCAGATGTCCTCCGCGGCATCGGAGGGTGGGCTTTCACTGTCCAACGAAGATCCGGACCCGCTCGCCCCCTCCGGGCAGGTGAGCGCTGTCAAATCGGATCCTGAAGTGGACATGTTAGCTGTGCTTTCCCGGGCTGCTTCGGCCGTGGGGTTGGAGATGGTTTATCCCCCAGCTCCGCGGCCGGACCGACCAGATGGGTGCTACGTAGAGGACCAGAAGGCGAAGCCTTCGAAGCCTCTCGTCCCCTTCTTCCCGGAAGTGCACAGTAGGCTCACGCAGTCTTGGAGGGCACCTTTCTCTGCCCGTGCTGCGTGTGCCTCCGCCCTCACCGCCCTTGACGGCGGAGCTGCCAGGGGGTATGAGGCGATCCCGTCAGTGGAGCGCGCTATCGCGGTCAATCTTTGTCCGTGCGGCGCCTCTACGTGGCGGGGTTTGCCCCGCCTCCCGTCCAAAGCCTGTAGGTTATCTGCCTCCCTCGGAGCCAGAGCTTATAAGGCTGCGGGCCAGGCTGCTTCGGCTTTGCACGCGATGGCCACCTACCAGCGCTACCAAGCGCAGGCGCTGGCCGAGCTGCACGAGGGCGGGTCCAACCCAAGCTTATTACATGAGCTGCGCACCGCGACCGACTATGCTCTTCGGACTACTAAGTCCGCCGCGTGTGCGCTGGGGAGGACGATGTCCACACTTGTGGTTCAGGAACGCCACCTCTGGCTAAACCTGGCCGATATGCGCGACGTTGACAAAGTTCGCTTTCTTGACTCGCCAATATCCCAGGCTGGCCTGTTCGGCGACACCGTCGGTGAATTCACCCAGGAATTCAAGGCGGTGAGAGCAGTCGGATGCGATGGGCAATGTCATCTATCGGCGTTGCCGTAAGCCCGCTCCGCCCGCCGAGCCATCCACCTCCGCTGTTCCTCGCCGAGGGCTGCCCCGCCCCCGCCTGCGCCTCCGGCCAAGCGGGCGCGGCGTTCACCTCGAAAGCAGGCAGCCCCTCCTGCCCAGGGCGCCGTTAAGTCCGGTAAATGGACCGCGAAGCGTCCCTGAGACAGGCCATCCGGAGAAGAGGAAACTTGCTCTTTCCCCGCTGGAGGGCAGGGCCCCGATAACAACGGTACTTTTCAGTGCCACCAAAACATCAGTAAAAGAGCACTTTTTCCCTTCCCCGGATGTGACTGCACGAGTTCTGCCAGTCCGGGACGCGCTGCCTTCCGGCTCGCAGACTCTACGTGCTTCGCCAGTGGCTCACGAGCGCTGGGGGGACGGTCTCCCTTCCCTCAGCCCTCCAGCCCCCTCTCCGGAGTCAGGGTGCGGAGCCAGAGCGAATCGCTCTCCTCCAGCTCTTCCGCGGGACCCTCGTGCTTCCCGGATCAGCACACCCACTCCGCGCTGCCCCACCGCTGGTACGTCAGCGATTGTAGCGATGACTCCATTAGCGAGGGCTCTGCCTGCCTGGTTAGCGCGGGCCAGCCCCTCGCAGTGGCTCATACGCACAATCAGACTCGGTTACGCGATTCAGTTCGCGAAACGGCCCCCCAAGTTTACGGGCGTGTATTTCTCCAGGGTCAACCCCCTGTCCGCCCCTGTCTTGCGAGAGGAGATTGCTGCCCTCCTGGCGAAGGGTGCAATTGAGCCGGTTCCTCCAGCCGAGATGGAGAGTGGGTTTTACAGCCCATACTTCATCGTACCCAAAAAGAGCGGTGGGTCACGGCCAATCCTAGATCTGCGCGTTTTGAACCGCTGTCTGCACAGGCTGCCGTTCAGAATGCTCACGCAGAGGCGCATTCTCCAATGCGTTCGTCCTCGGGATTGGTTTGCAGCCATAGACCTGAAGGACACGTATTTCCATGTCTCCATTCTTCCACGCCACCGCCAATTTCTGCGGTTTGCGTTCGAGGGTCGAGCGTGGCAGTACAAGGTCCTCCCCTTCGGGCTCTCTCTGTCTCCGCGGGTCTTCACCAAACTCGCGGAGGGTGCCCTAGCGCCCCTTCGGCTCGCGGGCATTCGCATACTCAATTATCTCGACGACTGGCTGATTTTAGCCCACTCGCGGGAGCAATTGATTATGCACAGGGACAAGGTGCTTCGGCATCTCCGCCTACTGGGGCTTCAGGTCAACCGAGAAAAGAGCAAACTCGCCCCCGTGCAGAGGATTTCTTTTCTCGGGATGGAGCTGGACTCGATCACCATGGTAGCGCACCTCTCCGAGGAACGCGCTCGCCTGTTGCTGAACTGTCTGAGGGAGCTCGACAGCAAACTAGTGGTCCCACTGAAGTTCTTTCAGAGGCTCCTGGGGCATATGGCATCCGCAGCCGCCGTCACGCCGCTCGGGTTGCTCCATATGAGACCACTTCAGCACTGGCTTCACGATCGGGTCCCCAGACGCGCATGGCACGCGGGCACACACCGGGTCTCGGTTACTGCGCTGTGTCGCCGCGCCCTCAGCCCTTGGAACGACCCCTCGTTCCTACAGGCCGGTGTGCCTCTAGGACAGGCGTCCAGCCATGTTGTTGTTTCAACAGACGCTTCCAACACGGGTTGGGGGGGCCGTGTGTCGCGGGCATGCGGCTGCGGGCCTCTGGAAGGGTGCCCAGCTGCATTGGCATATCAATCGCCTAGAGCTGTTGGCAGTGTTCCTCGCTCTCCACCGCTTTTTACCGGTGCTGGAGCGGCAACACGTGCTGGTCAGGACGGACAGTATGGCGGCGGTGGCGTATATCAACCGCATGGGGGGTATGCGCTCTCGCCGCAAGTCTCAGCTCGCCCGCCGTCTGCTCCTCTGGAGTCACCCGCGGCTGAAATCGCTGCGCGCCATTCACGTCCCAGGCACGCTCAATCGTGCAGCCGATGCGCTCTCACGACAGCTGTTACGTCCTGGAGAATGGAGACTCCACCCCGAGTCTGTTCAGCTGATATGGGCGCGATTCGGGGAGGCCCAGATCGATCTGTTTGCTTCCCCCGAGAACGCTCACTGCCAGTTGTTTTTTTCCCTGACCGAGGGCTCTCTCGGCACGGATGCACTGGCCCACAGCTGGCCTCGGGGCATGCGCAAGTATGCGTTTCCCCCAGTGAGCTTGCTCGCGCAGTTTCTGTGCAAGGTCAGGGAGGACGAGGAACAGGTTCTGCTAGTTGCGCCCCTTTGGCCCAACCGGACCTGGATATCAGAGCTCTCACTCCTCGCGACGGCCCTCCCCTGGCGGATCCCTTTGAGAGAGGACCTATTCTCTCAGGGACAGGGCACCATCTGGCACCCTCGCCCCGATCTTTGGAACCTCCACGTGTGGTCCCTAGACGCGAGGAAGACTTAGGTAACCTACCGACTGCGGTGGTTAATACCATCACTCAGGCTAGAGCCCCCTCCACGAGGCGCGCCTACGCCCTGAAGTGGAGTCTATTCACTGAATGGTGCGTCTCTCGCAGAGAAGACCCCCGAAATTGCCAGATTAGTGTTGTGCTCTCTTTCCTTCAAGAGAAGTTGGACAGCAGGCTGTCGCCCTCCACTCTCAAGGTTTACGTGGCCGCCATCTCCGCTTATCATAGCGCGGTAGCTGGCGGCACCGTGGTAAAGCATAACCTGGTCATCCAGTTCCTTAGGGGTGCTAGGCGAATTAATCCATCTCGCCCCCCTCTCATGCCCTCTTGGGATCTCGCCCTCGTTCTCACGAGTCTGCGATCCGATCCCTTTGAGCCACTCGAATCAGTATCTCTAAGATTTCTGTCCCTGAAGACAGCTCTGCTGGTTGCGTTGGCCTCCATCAAGAGGGTCGGGGACCTGGAGGCTTTTTCGGTCAGTGACTCGTGCCTGGAATTCGGGCCGGATTACTCTCACGTCATCCTGAGACCCCGCCCCGGTTATGTGCCCAAGGTTCCTACCACCCCCTTTAGAGATCAGGTAGTGAACCTGCAAGCGCTGCCCCTGGAGGAGGCAGACCCAGCCCTTTCTTTACTTTGTCTAGTTCGCGCTCTGCGCATTTATGTGGACCGTACTCAGAATTTTAGATCATCTGAGCAGCTCTTTGTCTGTTATGGCGGTCGGCAGCAGGGAAGTGCCGTATCAAAACAAAGATTATCCCACTGGATTGTGGATGCCATTTCACTTGCTTATTCGAGTCGAGGTCAGCCGTGTCCCCCGGGAGTTCGTGCACACTCCACTCGGAGCGTTGCATCCTCTTGGGTGCATGCACGCGGCGCCTCTCTAACAGACATCTGTAGAGCTGCGGGCTGGGCGACACCCAACACATTTGCAAGGTTTTACAATCTGCGCGTGGAGCCGGTTTCCTCAAGGGTATTAGGTAACCCTTTGGTGATTGAGGAGACAACTCGGTAGGGTGTTGAAACACGCTTGCTGCGCCATTCTCCCTAACACGGAGGTACGTGCGCCTTTTTTATCTGTCAGTAAAGTTCCCCGTCAGGTGAGCCCTGCAGATTCCTCCGTGGCCCCCAGCACTGACTCAGCGGAGGAGTCACTTGCTGGCCCACTACGTTGTCGGTCTGCCCGCTGGTCAGCCCGCGTTTTGGGTATAGGTGCCTGCTATGCGTGATCCCCACTAGGCGATCCCATATGCTTATTCCGCCACGGTTAAGTCCCCCCCCTGGGCGGACCCGTGTCTTCCCTCTCCGCTAACCACTCTTTTGCTATGCGTACTCCCCCTTTTTAGGGCTAGTCCATATGTAAATTCTGCCATCTATCCCCCCCTTGGGTAACGGATGGCCTCCGCAGCGTCCTCCCTATCGGGATTGCACGCTTCCCAACGTACTGTCGTATTTCCTAGAATTATCTAGATGCTCACGACTTCCCAAAAAATATATCTAAATCCGTAAAACTTCTGTTGAAGTAGGATAAATTAGGGCCAGGGACACGTTGGAGGACCGCGCCCCCCATGATGTGGGTGCGTCACGCTTGCTTGACTATCTCCTCATCGGGGGTGTTGGTAAGGTGCAGTCATTATGGCGCTTTCAATGGGCTCCCAATGCGTGGATTTTACAAATCAAATCCACTTATAGTGCTGAAGTTCCCCCCGAAGGGGAACGTTCGAGGTTACTAAAGTAACCCTTCGTTCCCCGAGGAGGGGAACGGAAGCACTATACTCCGTCGCCATAATGACTGTCCCTTAGCTGTTTGAAAGTCTCTTCAGCTTAAAAGGATGGCGTCTGCTGGCTTCAGGTGTGCTTATATGCTGAGATAATTGCAGATGTCGCACACCTGCGCAAGCTTACGCTGCCAATTAATTTCATTCATTGGCCCGTTCAATACTCTTTCAGACAATCGGCTTCTGATCCGAATCCTCCCAATGCGTGGATTTTACAAATCCAATCCACTTATAGTGCTTCCGTTCCCCTCCTCGGGGAACGAAGGGTTACTTTAGTAACCTCGAACGTTCACTGTGGAAAATGCTGGGTTCCACACAATTGATTTGTGTTGGAGGAACATGAAAGAATTTGGTTAACTTTTTTGTTCTTACATCAAAGCTTAAGTTGTCCTCAAAAAAAACAAACAAAAAAATGTAATATCAACTTAATATCCAACAACAAAGTGTAATTTTTGAGTGTTGTCAGAGCAGCGATAAAGGTTTAAAAACATAAAGCATTGAAACCCATGCAAACTGCTAAATAACCGATTTTTGTACAGTAATGTATGTACAGTAAATAAAGTTGCATTTCTTAAAAAGCAGACTAAACTAAATCTGCTTCTGATTTTGCAGAGAGAATTTGGGCTACAGAGGTAAAATGGTCAGTGAAAAAATCTAAGGATGATATCTTGGTGATGACCATAGAATTTGAGCCAGGAGAGTTTTCTGACCAATACAAAGTGTCCATCTGCAGTCCTGACTTTCACCCGGAAACATCTCAGGACATCATAAGGGTAATTTCAATGTTAAACTCCACACTGCCACCTGTTGTGTTTTACATCATAGACATGTGGCTCAAAGGTCTAATTCTGAAAAGTGATTATTATTCATGGAAACTATTATATAAAAGTGTATACTTGTGTGAAAAAAGTCCAAATATGAGTGATTCATTAATCAAATGCACTTAGTAATCAATTTTACTTATGGAACAACATGCTGTACTTACTAAAATAGATCAAATAATAAGTTGCATACTAAATTATATTTTAAAAAAAATATTGCTGACACATAGTTAACCATTTGGTTTGAAGGTAATAGGCAAACTATAAATATTAAAAATGACAGTTAGTATTTTGGGACCACACTGGTGTCTTCAAATAATCTTAGAAGATGCTGTCTAAATATCAAATAATTATTGTTGTAAATATGCCAGACAAGCTTTTAAATCTACAAATTAATTGTACACTGAATAATGAACAGTAATACCAAATGATGAATATATATTAAGTAAGTAAATATTTTTGCTCATAAAAAATGGATCTATGTGTGAAAAAAAAACATGTACGTTTGATCACACAAATGAGAAAACAATTCTGTTTTAAAGGATAATGGGACATTAATGATGGTTAAATTCACTCTGGAAGCCTGGAAGATAAAGCACTGCAATTTGGAACTGGTGGTAAGTCATTATATCAGTTATTTATGAGCGCTTTTAATAACACACTGCAGTTTGAGGATATGTATTTTCATCTCTTTACAACAGATTCAGCCACTGTCAGTTAAAAGCATGAAGAACTGTCTGGATTACAGAGAGAACGTTGATATCTGTCCCTGTAGGTTTTACATTGAACGTCTTATTGTCTGTGGAAATTGTTTTAAGATTTTACATTGAAATGACATTTTTATTTAAAGTATGGTATTGCATGCAGGTAAAGTCTCTATTAACATGCTAATTTCAGTTCTTCCAGATACGCCGGTTGTTTTGATTAGTTTGCTGACCCTTGGGCTGTTGATAGTGATGCTGGCAACTGTTTGTTGCTGTATTGCATTTTTGCAGAAACGGAATTCACACAAAGGTCAGTGCGAGTAACAGCTTTAAACAACAAGTTTAAATAGATTAAATGATTTGAGAAGTCTAGTTTCTTACACTGTAATATTTAGATATACATTCACCGGCCACTTTATTAGGTACAGTACACCCACTAGTACCGGGTTGGACCCTTTTTTGACTTCAGAACTGCCTTAATCCTTCGTGGCATAGATTCAACATGGCACTGGAAATATTCCTCAGAGATTTTGGACCATATTAACGTGATAGCATCACGCTGTTGCTGCAGATTTGTCGGCTGCACATCCATGATGCAAATCTCATGTTCCACCACATCCTAAAGGTGCTCTATTGGATTGAAGTCTGTTGACTGTGGAGGCCATTTAAATACAGCGAACTCATTCTCATGTTCAAGAAAGCAGTCTGAGATGATTTACGCTTTATGACATGGTGCATTATCCTGCTGGAAGCAGCCATCAGAAGATGTGTGGTCATGAAGGGATGGACTAGGTCAGCAACAATACTAACGCGATGTGTTGTGCTTTCAGAGATGTTCTTCTGCATACCTCAGTTGTAACGAGTGGTTATTTAAGTTACTGTAGCCTTTTTATTTGCTCAAACCAGTCTGGCCATTCTCCTCTGACCTCTGGCATCAATAAGGCATTTGCACACACAGAACTGCCACTCACTGGATATTTTCTTTTTTTCTGACCTTTCTCTGTAAACCCTAGAGATGGTTGTGTGTGAAAATCCCAGTAGATCAGCAGTTTCTGAAATGTTCAGAGCAGCCTGTCTGGCACCAACAACCATGCCAAATTCAAAGTCACTTAAATCACCTTTCTTCCCTATTTAGATGCTCGGTTTGAACTGCAGCAGATAGTGCCTAAATGCATTGAGCTGCTACCATGTGATTACAAATTGTGGCTGATTACAAATTTGTGTTAACGAGCAGTTGGACCTAATAAAGTGGCCGGTGAGTGTATATGAAACAAGCAAGGGTACTAAAAGGTACTAAAAAGATACTAAAGTAAAGTAAGTTTAAGTGAATCTAAAGAACTTTTTAATTTACAGCATTGCCATGACAACATCTTTGGGTCATCATTTAGTCATCTTCATATTGTTCCAATCCCATTAGAAAGTTCTTATTTTTTGGAACAAATGAAAATGTTTTTATGAAATCTTAGATTTCTGTTTCTCCATCTAAAGTCTATTCACCACAAACTTTAGAAGAAACTTATTTGTGAGATTGTGAACAGATTTAATTTAGTTTTTTATTCACATACTGTATCCTTCATTTTCACTGAGCAATATGGTACAGTTTAGTACAGAACAGTATGATTCAGTGTGGGTCACCCTGATCAGGCTTGTGTTTTTACTGTCAGCAGTACTCTTATTGGTAGGCATGATGTATGCAAGATTCACACTTTTACCTAAGTTCATTATTTTAAGAAAGGAATCCACACATTTAGTGACAAAACATGTGAACAGCCCTGTAAACAACAATGGAGAACAAACTGCAGATAGTAAGATCTCGTTCTTGCTGCTTGGTTTGCCACAAGCTTTGTTTGAGTATATGCTTTATATGGCATCATTATATTATTACGAGAGCGTTTCGACTGTGTATTTTAAAAAATGGTACAGTAGGGTGTGGTACAGGTCGGTACGTGTTACATTTATCAGGCTTGTGTTTCCACTGCCAAAAGAGTATCAATTTTTAGTTTACATCATTCTCGCTTGATGAAATGTCAAGTAAAGCTGTACAAGTCATTCACATATCATATAAGAAGAACTTCTCACAAAACAGTGGCTTTTACACACATAAATACTTGTGTATAAATGTTTATTTCTAACCTTTCTATGAACAGGATTTGATTAAAATTGTGGATCAATAATAGTGCGAAATAACCTACTGTAACGTATGCTATAAAAAATAAATAAATAATTGCAACATATATGAACACATACAGATCTTTACAGTCTCCAACATATTACCAGACACAAAAAAACTACACACAGCAGAAATTTAGTCCTTATTTGAGTTCAAAAACAACACGCAACATATAGCCCACAGTCAGTGTAAACCTATCATCTGTGTCTTTAATTTTCAGCAGCACATGTAACATTAGAAAGTAATTCCTGCCATTACAAGTTTATAATAGTCCCAAAGGTGATAATAGTTAAACATGACAGTTTGTTCATGTTTTAGGTTGCTGAAACTATCATTTGCTCCTTTGTTTTTTACGGCTTCTCCTTTTTTCGCGATTCACCGTTTCTGAAAGCATCAGATGTCAGAAGCACTTCAATAATCATGCACATGTCATTATCATCAGCTCAAAAAGTTAACTTTTTCAAATATAGACGTGCGGCGACCTCATGTGAGATAGTGAAACCGATATCGCTTTAGACTGCCTTGTAAACAACTATGGGGCACAGGGTAGATTCTGCTATTCTTCTTGGCTTAATGGCTGTTCATCAAGACGATGACAAGGTTTGTTTGAGCTCGGGTAAACCATGGCTCATTATTATATGTATATATTATCACCGTGTAATGTCTTGGCTGTGTATTTAAAAATGCTGGTTCCTTTGTTTTCATTCTCCTAGCCTGACTATGCAGTAGTGACGCTTCTCTGTAAATTAGTAGCGTTCAGCTGCGCCTCTGGCTGTGCCCTTTGATGCCCTTTTGTTGTGCTACAGTAGGTACCCTTTCGAAAAGGTACTCAAAAAGTGGTCAGTATGACTCGCTTTTAGGTACCTTTTGACAGTGGAAATGGCCATAAAAGCATACCGAACCGCACCATTCCGTACCACTCTGTGGAAACGGGTCATTAGAAAAGGGTTCCAAAAAGTAGCAAGGTTGCAATTAGCTATTCTTTGGTACTTCAGTAGAATTGGAAATAATATGTACTGTATGTACAGTACCGAACCATATTGCTCAGTAAAAATGAGCCACTTTGTGTTCCAAAGATTTCTTAGCATTTCTAATTTTTCGACTGTTTGTCTGATCTTTCATTCACTCTCCATTAATTTAATCCATTCTGCTTCTGTATCTCAACCTTTATATTTTTAATAGAAACCCCATCCTCAGACACCTCCACCTGTGCAAAGAGTAAACTGGAGATGAATCCTGTTCAGCAGGAACATAAGAAGCTCATCATCATCTACTCTCTAGATCATCCCCTGTACAAAGAGATCGTCTTGAAGTTATGTGCCTTCCTCAGGGCTAAATGTGGCACAGACGTCACACTGGATCTTCTGGACTCCACCTGGCTCAGCACAATCGGCAGAATTCAATGGCTGGATATGCAAAGGGAACGAATCGCCAAGTCCTCTGATAAAGTCCTGATTCTGTGCTCTCCGGGAGTGTATGCGAAGTGGAAGTCAATGTGCGGTAAACACCAAGTAAGACTAAAAGAGGACGAACGTTCACCAATGGGAGATATGCTCACTCCAGCTTTGAGCCTCATTATACCGGATTTTATTCACGCTTCATCTTTCAACAAATACATGGTGGCTTATTTTGATGATGTTTGCAGCGAGGTTGATGTTCCAGCACCTTTTAATGTTCTGGTGAAGTACAAGCTCATGAACCACTTTGAGGAACTTTACTTCCGGATCCTAGACATGGAAAAACACGAGCCAGGACGGATTAAATGCATTGAAGGCATTAGGGAGAATGATTACTTCTGCTGTCCGTCAGGACGAGCCCTTCGGGATGCAATTGAGGTGTTTCGAAATTACCAGGTGAAGAATCCAAACTGGTTTGAAATGGAGCTTCTGGACTCTGATGATGAAGATGAAAGCATCATGGAGTCGATGTTTCCAAAGGATGTTAAATGTAATCCTTATCAGCTAGTTGAAAATTATAAACCTCATGCGTTTGTCAACGTGATTCAGATTGATGAAGACGTTTTTAAAAATGCTTCCATTGCAGAGACAGCCATAATATTGAGTGAGCATTCTTCAGTTTCCACTACAGGTGTTCATTCTAGGGGTCCAGGATTGAGTAGCTTGACAACTATTGATGTGAAAGGTTTGGCAGCAACTAAACCTGTGGCACAGCATGCTTTATGCTTACAGGCTCTGTGAATGCCTCTAAATTTGTAGCTGTAAATAATCAGTCATGTTCAGGCTTAAAGCATTACAAGTTTTCTAATCAGGTTACATTTTCACATAATACTAAAGTAATCCATTAATTTTCATTTAAAAAAAATCTGTTTTTCCAAAAAAGAAAATGCAAAAAAGTAACATAAAAGAATTTTTTTTCTTTAAAAGTAACTAAGTACCATATTTAGTTACTTTTAAAAGTATTAAGTAATGCAAGATTTTAATATATTACTTTTAAAAGCAGTGGTAGAAAAAAAATCATACTTAAGTAAAAGTACCATTACTTGCCTAAAAATGTAGAGTATTGCAAGTAGAGTAAAAGTATCTGTTGTAAATACTACTCAAAGTATAGATCTTTCAAAAGTACTCAAGAGTAGTGAGTATTGAGTATTACGCTGTAAGAAGCTGAGGCATTTACATGTAATTTGTGGATGTGTGTAAACTTAACATTCTGTAGTGCATTTAGTTATTGCCCAGCAGGCACACAACATCATAAGTTAATATTAGGTTAGATTTAGGTTGTGATGTCAGGTGACCAAAATTCAATGACTAGCCATCGTCTAAGGACAATGTTATTTTGATATCTGATAACGATAACGTTGGATATTGACGTTGGCCTGACGTTGAGTTGTGACGTCAACCGGATTTTCATTTCCGAACAAAATGCAACGTCCTCACAACGTTGGGTACAACTTCAATCTGACGTCAAGTTGACGTCTTGTGCCTGCTGGGTGTTTAGGGCATTTCATTATTCATACAGTAAATATCTGTCATTTTTTTCACCAGTGACATGCATCTAAACAGTCTCTGGTACAATGTAATTAAAGATTTTAGACATCTTCTTGGATAATTTAATTGCTTCCAAAGTTTGCTGCAATTATAAATGGCCCATGTCTTGAGGTTGTTCATTATTATGTGATTTACCTCTATACTTCTATGTGAATTTGGTTGGACAGGAATCGCTAAATTTTCTAGTCCCCATAGACAAGAAAAACTAAAGTAGTGACTGCAGGATTAAAGGAAAGTAGTGGAGTAAAAGTACCAATACAGCACTAAAAATGTACTCAAGGGAAAGTAAAAGTGCACATTTACAAAACTACTTAATAAATTACAATTTCTGAGGAAAACTACTCACTTACAGTAGTTTGAGTATTTGTAAATTGTTACTTTACAACACTGATTAAAAGTAACTTTCGCCAAGAACACTGATAATCAGAATATTTTAAAGCCTGATTAAATAAGCATAATTATATTAGCATCCACATACTAAAAAATACAAAATACAAAAGTCACTGTGTGATGCAGATCTGACTTTTTAAACCCCATTGGTTATACCTGTAATCTTTGGCATGCAATTATGTAGGTGGTGGAGTAATGTCTAGTTAAAATAACATTAGACTTATGCTGTAAATATTGAACATGGCTAAATACTAAAGATGGCTTCTGGAATTTTTGTTATTTTACAGATAATTTACTACAATATTAAAAATATCTTCAAAGTTGTGGTGTGAACATATATTTAAAATAGTGTGTGTTGGTATTTTTTGGTGTGAACTACCATTTACTATCATTTTAAGACAGGGTTAGAGTTCTTTTATGGTTTTGTCTAAGTAAAAAGTGTATACATTGATGTTTCAAATTACTCTTGCAATAATAAATTGTCAAAACATGCATGAAAAACGTTTCAACTGTGAAATTGTCATTCAGTGTAATAGATTTTGAATTTAAATATAAAGTTTATTGTTGGTGTGTTCAAATTGGCCGTGTTGGGTTCATATTAAGAAGTGAGTCTTGTGTTTCTTTCGTACTGAGGTAATCAGGGTACTTCCTTGAATATAGAGTTTTGATGCAGTTCACACACACACTGCTTGAATTAAGCAGGGACTTCACAAAGTCAGAACGGGATGGCATACTTTACCAGACATGCCCTTATTCAATTTAAAATACTTCACCGGTTACATTTGACAAATTTAAAATTGTCTAATATCTATCCTACTGTTGGTCCAGCATGCAGTAGATGCTCAAATTCACCAGCCACAACTGCCCACATGTTTTGATTCTGCCCAAATCTAGGGAGGCTTTGGAAAGATATTTCTGGCAAGGCATTTAATTATTCTCTATTGGAAAAAAACTGAACCCCCAACACATAGTAGATGGATCAAAGATGTGATGTATTTTATTCAGCTTAAAAAAATCTTATTCATTCTCAGAGGTTCATTTTTTAAATCTTCCCCCTTTTTTACATATGTTGATAATAATAATAATTATTATTATAATAATTTTCTTTATCATTCCTCTTTCATCTCACTGTGAACTTAATGCCTTTCACAATTGGCTAGCTTGTAATAAAGGCATACAGAACCTTTCTTCTAATACACCCTGAATGGTTAGCTTTTATGTGTATTGTATTTCTTTTTGCATTTTACTTTTTTTTTTTTTTTTACATTTATTTATTTATTTGCTTGTCATTACTGTATTTTGGGGTTGTGTCTGCTCCTTATATAGTCTTGCTGTACATTTGTGTGACACTTGAGGACTTTAATGTTTTCAGACTGTAAGCTGTGTCTATTCTATTAAATCCACAAAAGGGAAATTAGTGTTGGGATGTTTGTTTGTATATTTGTTTTTGTTGTTGTTGACTGACTCCGTTTTTGTGTGCAAATTTCTAAAAAAAAATCCTATAAATGAAGTATTTAAAAAGTTCATAGGAAATGATAGAAACATGATTGGGATTTATATCGATTTAATCATAAGCCTATTGCAAGTATGTAAGCATTATTTACACAAACGCACACACACACACACACACACACACACACACATCGTTGATTTTAACATTAAATAGTTCTCATGTAGCCTGATTGTTAAATCGTACCTTATTTAATTAGACAGTTAAAAAGTGGAACCACAGTAATATTAAATATTAGCTTTAAACTGGGACATCTCCTTTGTTATTGTGCAATTGTCGTTGTAAATGCCCCATGTGGTAGATATTTTCAGTGAAAAAAGCAATGGATATAGCTCACGGTTTAGTACAAACAAGCCCAACGGGATCAAAGTTCAACCTAGTGAAGTAGAGCCCAGAAGAATGATCTTTAAACTAAAAATACTTTAAACTGAGCAGCTATCGTCAAAATTAAAGATTTGGTCTGTGCTGACCCGAACCGTCAGTGAGTTACGCGTGAGAAGAATTTTAATGAGCAAAAGCAGCCTCTTTTTTGTCAAGACTTGAAGTTCTGAATTGTTTACATAACAGCGTCCGTTTGTGGATTTTACATTATGGTGATTTGTGTATTTTGTGTTTTGAAACGTGTTTGTTACAGTCAGCTCGTCACTTGTCTCTAACAAACAGAGCATGACAAATCGTTCCCTTTGAATTTTTTTTTTGGAAACGCTCCAGCAAGCAGTGGTTTACTTTATATTTGTGTCAATTTTTTGAGTTTTGCTGAGCCGAAGATCCTGTTTTGAACATGCTTTGGAGGTTTTCTACGTTTCTTAGACGCTGCTTCACAACTACACACAGCAGGCATTGCAAACAAGGTAAAGTAGCACAAACCACAGACTTTTCACTGAAGTTTCTGCAAGCTTGTCCCAATTTTGTTACTGCAGTATCTTTCATTATAATTGGACCACTGTCATTGTCATTCAAAATTAATCATACTCCTAATGCTTTTCAATATTTGTTTTCCACTGAACAAAGAAAATATTTAGCAGAATGTCTAAGCTTTTTCTTACCATATAGTGAAAGTGAATCAAGATTTGTTCTGTGAGGAGTCAAAACGACCAACAGTTTTACAGATCCTGTGACTTTATGAGCTATATTGTAAATGCTGTGAAGAAATAATATGATTAAATATTACCAGTATATATATATATATATATATATATATATATATATATATATATATATATATATATATATATATATATATATATATATATATATATTATAGTAAATTAAAATAATCAGAACCAATTCAAATTATATTTTGGTCTCGAGTTACCAAATTGTAATATTTATGAGTAAAGTGTTTGTGTTCCTCCTACAGACAGCCTGTTTACAATCCATCCAGATGTGAAAGAAGCCTTAGCGCATCACAGGCCAGTTGTGGCTCTGGAAAGCACTATTATTACTCATGGGATGCCTTATCCTCACAATCTCAGGTACAGTTGACACATACTGTATATAACATAGACATTTTTAAAAGGTTTATTCATGCCAAAACCATAACTTATTCTTTTGTTGTTGCTCCAAACCCAGTTTGTTAATCTTCAGAACAAATATGACAGTCCAACAGATTTTTGAGAGTTCAAACTTTGAATCTTTAAAAATTTGAGCTGATTCATATCTGCGTTTCTTTTGTATTTCAGCACAGCAAAAGAGGTCGAGGCTATCGTGAGGGCTGAAGGTTCAATACCAGCAACCATTGGCATTCTTGAGGGGAGGATTCATGTGGGCCTTTCTTCAGATGAACTGGACTTCCTGGCACAAAGCAAAACAGCACTGAAAGTGTCCAGAAGAGACCTACCATATGTCATCAGCAAGGTCTGTAATAATTTTTTTGCATCTATGTTAATATATAAATCAAAATGATAGTTCACCTTAAAATGAAAATTTACTCGCCATTTTATCACTCATTTGTGTTTCAAACATATCTGAGTTTCTTTTTACTGTTGAACACCAAATACGATATTTTGAAGAATCCTTAAAATCGCCTACTATTTACATCCAAAGTAGGATAAACAAATACTCAATCAATGCTTGCGGGTTTCTAGCTTTCTTCAATGTATTTTCCTTTTTGTTCAGCAGAAGAAAGAAAGTCATATAGGTTTTAAACAAATGAACGGTGAATAAATGATGACACAATCGTAATTTTTGGGTGAACTTTCACTCTAATGTAAAAATGTTTGTTGATTATGCAGGGTCTTTCGGGTGGCACCACTGTCTCTGGCACAATGATCGCTGCAAACAAGGCTGGGATTCCTGTCTTTGTAACCGGAGGCATTGGAGGAGTGCATAGAGATGGAGAAAACTGCACGTTTATCTCATAACTGTCATTATTTTCATGTGAAATAGGCACATTATAGAGCATGGCGTGACCCATAGAATAATTTTTCTGCCA